AAGCTCTGGGAGCCAAATAAACAAGGAGCAACAGCCGGCCCTAGCTACATGTGCAGCCAGTCCTAGTTGGGCCTGTTTTTGGTGGCAGTCAGGCCCTGAAGTTAATAAACAGATTACCCTAACTGTTTGACTATATATATTGACTCGTGTACTTGTAAACGATCTGATTGCATCATTCATCATCTCAATAATAAAGAAAACCCTAGTTGCCCCCGTGGATTTGGTCAGTAACATCTACTGGCTGAACCATGTTAAATTTGTATCATTCTTTTCTAGTTTTTCAGTTTTGTGTGTGCGCGCCCTAACCCTAACAGACTAGAGGTAGCTAAATGAACTAACAGACTTGAAATTTTCGAACTGAACAACAAATTTAGTTTGTTCATTAGGATAGACCACACTCCTTTGGCTGCATTGAAGCAAGACAGTTTAGTTTCCGGAACAACTCAAGTATTTGGATTGTAATGCAGCTCATGGTTTACAATGTAGCTTGCAACATGCATACATAGACACTACGTCAATGATAGTTCATTGATAAAATAAATAGAACTAGTGGAATTCATTGGAGTGGGTAGTCCCGTAATTCGTTAATGATAATTCATGGAAGCTTACAGCTTAAGATGGAATAAATAGAATTAGTGAACATATGGTACATGTCAGAAAAGAGTGGAAGATGATGATTTAATGGATGACTTTGAGAGATTTTCTATTGGTTCATGTAGCAGGCTGCAGGCCTGATGATTTGGGGTTGCGGTTGGACTTTGTATGTAACAAGGTTACTGCTTACTAGATTACTGTTTACCTGCCAAGTACAAGTTCATCACGTTTTCTCAAACTATCATAACCTTTTATAGCTCTATAACTGAGTTCCCTGTTACATTTCATTGATTAATTTTGGAGGCTGCAAAACTTTTTTACTTTCACCAAAGTGTACGTCTTAATATCTTATACGGAGTACATAGTAAGCATCATCACTAAATTTGTAGTTTCATGTCCTATTATTTGAAGGCTCGTCGCCTCCTCCGTGTTCCGGATATTTTGTGTCGTAAAGGAGGTTATCAAGTGTAGCGGATAGCCATTCCTGTTTTGCATGTTATTTTCATTACTTTGAAGCCTATGTTTATTGAGAGAAGTGGTTTATTTCTTCGGAGCAAGTTTATTTGAAAATTCATCATCAATCAAGAAAGCTGTTATACCCAAAAACATTTTCCATTGACTTCTTGTATAAGAATGTGCATTCTGTCAAACAATGTTTACAAACATTGTTTTCAACTTCCCAAATTTTACCAAAATCCATCATCAATCAAGAAAGGCACCATAAAAAAATTATTTGACATTTTGGCCTTGAATGAGAATGGCAACTCATGAAATGGTGTTCTAAACCATTGTTCTTTTCCTCCATTTAACCTTTTTGTTTTTTCATTTTCGCATCTTGAATATCTGTTAGGCTGATAGAAATGTACAGTCAGCTGAAAATTTTGTGTTTATACTCTGGTGTCTGCCCAATTATGGCCAGCTTGTATTTTTCGCTCTAGATATTATCTATTATGTTCTATTCTTTCCTTTTTGTTTCCATTAATCTGTAATTACCATGCTGATAGACTAACAACAAAGAGGATGTACCCAGTGATAAAGAAAAACGGATAAAAGAGGTTGAGCAGAAACTGGTAGTTTTAAATGCAAAGAAGCATAGTTTGGTGCAGTTGCTGAAGCAGGTATGACTTGTGCTTTCGTGGGTTTTTAAGGAGGCCTGATGATATGTCCTTACTCTTTTAACCAGTTCTTGCAATATGCATGACAACATGATGCATTTGCTCTGTTGCTTGACAGATACTTGGTGCTGAAGAGGTACTGAAGGGGAGACAATCTCAAGGAATAATGATGGGGCGCCCACCAATACCTCTTCAAGTAGATATTACAAATGACACTGGATCTATGACTAGACTTGGGACACCTAGAGTTGGGTCAGATGGACTCAGTACTGAAGCTGAAGGAGAAGGTGATGATTTTTCCAACCCGAACATGCACTCTCGCAACTTGCTTTGTATGAACAGTACATCACCATCTCCAGACTCTCAATATAGGAAGCCTGTTCACAATAAAGTAAGTACACAATGAATTTTTAAAGAGGGCTAATGCTCACTGTTCCTTTTTTAGCATTAGGTTATGATTAATATTGTAAACATTATTGGCATTTATTGTTAAGGGCTTATCTATGAGGAACCTAAGAGTAATTCTGCATAATATTCAAATGTGTTTTTGGCTGAAGTGAAAGAAGACTATGCTTGTGTGAATTTTGTTTACATCTAGAGAACCAAATGATTGCATCAAAGGTTAGAAGAAAGCAGAGGGTTAGCCTAATCCGCCCACCTTCTGCAACAGAAAGTCAGAAGTAATGGTGAAATTTGCTATCAGACTTCCCTGATGGCTATCACATGTTTATCACATTTTTTAGACCCTGACCCCCTTTACAGAAACACTCACTATAATGGCTATTTATAGGTATATGGACAAATTACTGTGCTAGAATTCTAAACAAAACAGAACTGCTGGAACCGTACTGGCAGAACTGCAAGCTGGCAGTTTCGGAACGAGAACCGAACTGGTCCATACCCACCCCTAGGTAGCACTGTTGAGGCCCTACAGGGCCACACCGCTACAGTACAATGAGCTGGACAATCAGTAGGATCCCATCTGTTGTAATGCAGCATAACTTTGGGCATTCTCCCTCACTACCACCCATACGCACTACACCAACCACAAAATGACGCAATTACTTATATGGTTATAACGAGTAGAATAATAATAAAATAACCATTTTAGTCCATCTATTACACAATATTAGATATTACTCAAAACCTGGTATTCAACTTTTTTCTGCACTCGATTTGGTCCTTGATATTGCATCTATTTTGTAGTCTCTTTAATCCTTTGTATGGACAAAAATACCCTTTTGTACCCGTTGTGATGAAAGCCATACATGCAGGAGAATTAATTTGGGTCCAAACTGCATAGTCAAGGGAGACGCCGGAGAGCCAATAGACTCGAAAAAACAATTCATGGACAAAATCGATTTTTTAACTCTAAGTAGTATCAGCAACTCTAAGTGTATAAATCCTTTCCAGTAGTAATTCTAAACGGCCTATGATGGCATCATAAACATTTTTATTTTCTTACTACATATTCTCAACTACTTGCTCAACATTTTGTGTTTCCTAAGTGATCTCAGTTTGCGTGATTATTGTGATGTTCCTGGATGATCTTCTCATAGTCTCATGGATACTGATATGCATTCAATATCTTCCAAAACAGGTCCCTTTCTCTTCACGAACTACTAATATGGGTGTCATAGGAGGCACCCCCTCAAGTTTTGCACCCTCTGGGCAACAAGGACTCCCTTTAATTCCACCACCCGGTCCACCCTCTGTTTGCATACCAGGGGCAAGTAACATCACCTCCACACCTTCTCCATCTTTATCAGGTGGCGGTACCCCAGGATTCCGGGATGCCCATCTCCCAAGTCCGTGGAGCTAGGAGAGAGAGGGGGATGCGCTATTCTTGGGGTTTGAGGTATTGGTGTCACCTGACCAGACTTGTTTTGCAAAATTGTATTAGACCCACATACATAGAACTCAATGCAAAATTATAGTATCAGTTATCGCAGTCACACAAATGTGTTCCTACTGTGATATACAACCATGTTTTTGTTAATGTCTACATTTCAAATTTTACTTGTCTACAGCAGTACTGCGTGTTTTGGCTGCAAAATTGTACATTGCCCGTTCCAGATATTAATTCTTTATTAGTTTCACCTTTTTTTTGATGTACAAGTTTTATTAGGAAGTCTTAAACCTCCATATGGAAACTTTCATTTGTGAATTAAGTCTGTTTAGTGCTCAGAATCTGTGGTTAAGATTTAAGAAGGTTTGAAAGTGAGATGAAATTTGAATGAAGAAGTTTTGGTCTCACTAAAATGTAGCTCTTTAAATTGTTGTATAAGCTAACATATTTAAAGGAACATAGCTCAAGTAACATGTTTATGTGGCCTGCGGCGCACTATTATGGGCTCGTTTGCTTGGCTCTGGTATTTGCGTGAATGTCTCAACTCTCAAGTCAGCCTTTTTGGATAAAGTCAGTTTTGTGATATGTTCAATTGAGGTTCTTATGACCCAAAACGTTAAGAGGTGAGGCCTTCCTGATCTCATGCTATATATAATAGAGCTTTTGATTTCCATTTATGTTCTGATCTGAACACATTTTGCATATACAAAAATCTGTCTGGAGCATAAGATTATACTGGCCTGATCCGAACGAAATCATATTCCACCAAACAAAATCCTGTGCACCGAACACAATAGAAAGAATGCATTTAGGTCTGTCAATGGGTCGGGTCCAGTCTGTGACTCTGACATCATTTTTCAGAATTCAGACCCGGACCCGTTAGTTTATTTGATGTCTGGACCAGATCCCAGATTCCCAATACCCGATTAGTAGGATAAGTGTTTCAAATCTAGATTCAATTGGTCTCAAAAGTGGGTTGGGTACACTGCCCTATTGACACACAAATGATTTTTGTTTAAATGGTCATAATATAAACTTCTAATTATGAGCATAGTCACATACTGACATATGTGATTTTTATTTAATAGAGATTCTTAAATGAGTACGAGTCCTGAATGGGTCAAACCATATAGGTTTGAGTTGGGGGTAAATGGAATTACATGTGGGACCATATATGTAAACAACAGGTGTGTTAGGGTGGATGTGGGTCCAAATTTTGATCTGAACCAGTCTTCCCCAAATTTTTCATAATGCACCAATCTGTGTTAAGGTCTTCGTTATTCTCTACTTAATCGGTGTAGGATGCCTACAGGCTACAGGCTACAACAATCTCACCTAAGGCCAACTATGGGGTTGTGTTTTTCACATGATGCTGCACTATCGTAGTTAGGAGTTGAAGTGTGTGTCTCCAATATCATGTTAAGAATAAGAGTTGGGTCTAATTTAACTTGATCAAAACTCTCAAATTACAAAGACTGTCCAACACATGTTAAATTATTTTTTTATTCATGACATGGAATAACTCCCACATGTTGGTAAATTTACTAGTACACCCATGAACAATGGCATTTAAATGAAATTTAGTTGATCTTATAAGAGAAATTGTCTTGATAATAGATGTGTGAAGGGTAATTGATCAAGCACCAAACTTAGCACGGATCCCATGGAGGATGTGGGGATCTACTTGGAAGGCCTTAGTCAAGACCTCTTCAGGAATGAGAGGGTTAGAAGCAAAGAGGGTTAGGGGAAGCACAACCGCGCCAGGCAGCTGGCTGTTGAATGCAGTATATATCAAAGCATTCTTCCTTCCAACATTCATCTGGAAATGCACCAGACCTCTAGGAATCACAAACATCTGACCTTTGGTCAAATTTTTGGAGTAATACACATTCCCTGCTGAAGTCACGAACCCCACAAGCACTTTCCCCGTGATGACTACACCGCACTCGCTGGCGCGTGGGTGCAAGTGCGGTGGATTCAGCCCTCCAGGGGATATCTGAACCTGGTTCATTGCAATCCCTAGCGTGTTGAGTCCCGGAAATGTCAGAACGTTGCCTTGGGTCAATCTTGATCCAAACAATACTTCATTACTTGTGGTATTGTTTTCCCCTTTTTTTCTGTTGGTTCTGAACCCATCGAAGAAAAAGTCTTCAGAGTTCACCTCTGAAGTTGGTTTGCAAGGAAAGGCACCACTATTGATGATGGGGTTGCCAAGAGTGGAGGTATCCAGAACTGCAACGCAGAAGTCCTGCACTTGGTCAGGATCTGCAGCCTGGGAGACCAATGGTAGCAGCAAGAACACTCTCATGCTCATGCAGATGAAGAACATAACCTGGACGACACCGAATCCTAAGCAATCATGATTCATTAGGCATGCCATTTTTTATCTGAGGATGATTGATGAAAAACTTTCAGGTGCGTATATAAGTATATTGGTATGTATGTATAATGGCAATAGCAGCCACTAAAGGACTTTTAGTTCTCTGTTCAAACTAGTTAGGATATCTCGTGTGCATGTATTATTTATATAGGAAGAAAGATGTCATTGAGTATATATACTGGGAAAAAGAGACTACTGGGCTATGCGGTTATATATGAAACTATGGAAATTCTTAGGGAAGACTGGTTTGCTGTTCACGGGTGGGTGAACATTTTTTGTTGGAATTTTTTTACGGTCCGGTCTGATTCATACAACAACATTCAAGTCTTAATCCCAAAAATTTTGGAGTCTGCTAACATGAATCGATCCATGATATCAATGTCAAAAGAGAAGACCGGTTCAGATCAATGTGATTTGGGAAATAAATCATTACCGAATTAAAATCACTCCCTGTTCGGTTTCATTATGAAAAATTTGGGGAAGACTGGTTCAGATCAATGTGATATGGTTTGGCCAAAAGGTCGACTCCAATTGTTGACCATAGAGATGACGGACTGCATCAGCTATCAGCCATTGGAGGTTGCCAAAATTGTCAATGATATAAATATTTCTGTGATCCTGTCCTATACTTCCATCAAGCTCCGTAGCTTAACTTTTTGGTTTCCCATTTGCTAGACCAAGTCAAGTCAAGTCAAAAAACGAAGCAACTTAGCTTTTTCCTACTAGGAAAAAAACTTTTCTCTATAATTTGAGCAGTAATTAGTTAATGAGATATTTTTATTCTTAGTTTTGTTGGTACCCCACTACCTCGTGTGTGTATATATAGGCTCTCTTATGGGAAGCATATAAGGGAGCATGTATATTTTGATGTTGATTTTATAAAAATATGAATATAATATGTTCATATTTTGACACACATTTCTATTTTTTTAGAAGGTGACTTGTATTAATAAGCTAACAGGACGTAACCAGACAAAGACAAAGGGTCCACTGTTTACCGTCCGCCCTTGAACCAGACTTAGAACCTGCCACCTCTAAATAAGCAACTAGATTCGCTGATCCTGAATTGAGCTTACCTGAGCCAATGACTTGTAAGCTAGACTCCCCATCACCTGTCCTATGTTCTAGAGTTTTAGCATGAATACAAACAAGGGAAAACTGTCAAATAGGTTCTCGAACTTTCAAAAAAAAGTCAAATAAGTCCTTATATAGGAGGCTATGTCCGACCGTCGCGATTTGGGGTGGTTCTCGGTGGAATTTTTTGATGATTTTTTTTTAGAATCTTATTCATCAAGTCTAGTTTACTCATATCAAATTTCAGCTAAAACTTCAATCGGGAATGCATTCAAATTAATTCTTGAAGATAACTGCGCATTTAACTGTCTGTCTTGACACCTTGAGCGCTCTTCACAACTTCTCGTGCCGTCTCCACCAAGATCAATAACAATCCCCTCCTCTTCCTCAAGGATTAATACTTGCCATGTCTTGACACCTTGATCGCTCCAGGGCGGCGGTTCGGGAGGGGGAAGGACCAATGATCTGTCTTCTCCTACTGCGAAAACCGCCCGAGATCCTTTAGCCTCCGCCTCGCTGCCTGTTTCATAAAAAACTAGCCCTTCCTCATCATCCTTCAAAGTCAGATTGCCATATTTCTCTTCCAAATGTGCAATTGGAAACTCTGATTAAATTGTGCATCATTTTTATCACAAGATTTAATTTTTATAAATAATGAGTGCCCCTAAAGTGTACATATATTAAAGATAAGCCAAAAGGCAAATTCAACTAAAAACAGAAATATATTTGTGATTAAAAAACCTACAACCCACAACCTAACAAAAAAAAAACTTTTCAAATTAAACCCAAAACCTTCATTATTCAGCAGAAGTACAAAACTAACAAGCGTGATCAAAATCTTTGTTAGTGTAACATACAAACTAAGTACTAGTGTGTAGATGAGCATCGGTAACAAGTCCGGGATTCGGCGATAAGTATAGTTTTCGACAGAGATCTGTATATGACTATGTGACATGAATTGAAACACAGACCCAGCTATGATTGATGACATTCCCTGAAAATTTCCTTATAACCAAGCACAAGGGAAAACAAAAGAGTTTATATGGGAATTTTGTAAAATCAGCAATGAATCTTTGTTATGTATATCCATGTAAGTTTCAGAGCTGCGCATATGCATTAGTGATTGATGAGTCGTCATATAATCTTCATTGGAACTAAAACAACAACAAAAACATCCAAGCCTTATTCCTAAATGATTTTGGGGTTAGCTAAAATGAATCGATTCATGATATCGGTGCCAAAAAAGAGAAAAAAGATAAGAAAAAATAAATAGATAAGGTAAGATAAAGCAAACAAATAAATTATTTCTATATACATAACTGTTCAGATTGTGTAACTGATTGCATTACTGCTGAAAACTTGTAATGCAAGATTCTGAACCGTTATCATGCTATTTTGAGATTAGATTTAAACCCCAGCCGAACGAGAAGACATCGGGGGTGTTTGGCAAATGGTTGTTGGCTGTTGGCCATCGGCTGATTGTGTTGGCTGATTATTGATAGCTGATTCTGTTGGCTGTTTTGATTAGCCGATAGTATTAGCAGTTTGTAAAACGATATTTGGTTAAATGACTGTTTAAAATCAGCTGATGTCTTATCAAATGACATTTAAGGACATAATTATATTTTTTTTATTAATGTTACGTAAAATGACTTTTTTTATTAAATTACTTGGAAGTGGACAAAATATTGGGGTTTTTATTTGAATATTACTAATTTTGAACCAATTACCATAAAAGTGAGCACTTTTAAAAAGGGGCAAAAAAGTGATCAAGAAGGTCATATTAATGTCATTCCCTGATTTTAATGTCACTATCCTGTTTTAATGTCACTATCAAATGTCACTGCCGCCGCCACCCGTGTCACTGCCGCCACCGCCTGTGTCACTCCCGCTACCGCTCGTGTCACTGTAATCACTGCCCGTGTCACTGTAGCCACCGCCCGTGTCACTGTAGCCACCGCCCGTGTCACTGTAGCCACCGCCCGTGTCACTGCGGTCACCGCCCGTGTCACTGTGGCCACCGCCCGTGTCACTGTGACCACCGCCCGTGTCACTACGGCCACCGCCCGTGTCACTAAAGCCGCCGCCTGTGTCACTATAGCCACCGCCCGTGTCACCGTAGCTGCCGCCGCACTGTGGCCCCGCCGCAGGTCACTGCCCACGGCACCGCCCATTACCTCCACCGCACCTTTGCATCAGGGACCACTGCCTAGCCCCACCGGCCACAGCCCCGACAACCGCCCACATGCCCCAGCTTCAATCACTGCCCTACCACCACCCCAGCTCCGGCCATCAGCGGGGGGCCCTACCCCAACCCCGGGTCCCTTGCCACTGCTTTCCCAGTCCTCCCACAGCTCCCCATCCCCACCCCCAGCCTACCTGCCCCAGCGCCCCTTCCCCTTGCCCAGCCCGTACCACCACCTTACCCCAACGCCGCCTAGACGCCGCCATCACCTAACCTCAGCACCACCCAACCCACGCCACCATGTGATTCCAGCCCAGCCCTATGCGACCTGAAACAACCCAACCAATCAGCGCCCTACCTTGCACCAGTCTGCCCCTCTGCAGCTCGCCCGAGTCACACCAGCCCAAAAAACCAGATCTGAAATAGGGCGGCAGAATGAATCGATGAAGCTTGACAACAACGAAGAAGACGATTCACAGAAGAGAAGACGAAGAAGAAGACAGTGCGCAGTGAAGAAGAAGAAGGCGAGTCGACTCACCCTAGCCCCAAATAGAGCAGCGACATCAGAATTGCAACAGCGGCGCAGCCGTCCCTGTCGGAGTGCGGTCGATGAAGATAGGAGATGGCCAAGGCATCGGAGGAAGCGGCGGTCTGACGGGATGGACGCTGCTCTGGCTTCTCTGTGCGTGGAGAAGCTGCTCTCATCGATGATGCTCTGTCCCTGAAGTTCGTGCGCAGCAAGGGAGACGGAAAGAAACAAAATGTTAACGGGGTTTAGCGGTCACTTTTTTATCAAACAAAAATCCACTCATATTTTGGTCTAATAAAAGGTGGGAGGTAATAATGGTGCCATTCTTTCCAAAATATTTCTATCATCCACCACACACTTTATCTTTCGGGGAATAGTAGCTCTCAAATTTTTGGGGATGTTATGTATATATACGTGTGTGGGAAATAAAAACAAAGGTGGAATCAATTAATCATGATTTGTTGTTTTTAAAAAAAATGAATTGGTTTTATGTGAAGAAAAAATTAATACCTGGTAGCAAAAACGGATAGGAAATGTCAGTACTAACTGGAGAAGAAAGCTTTCTCCATGATTGCTTTTTTTAATTAACGGAAGAAGTAACCCATGAAGAAGAGGAGGAGATGCCTGGGCAGAATAGGGATATCGAGCAATTTTCCAAACGGCCAGGATGTAAACGCCAATTTTATTAGCTTTTTCCATTTTAGCTGTTTCAGATAAAAGTCAAGTGAAAAAGCAAACTTACCAAACACATCAATTAGTGGATTATCTGGTCAAAAAGTCAAATAATAGTAAAATCAGCCAAAAATTGGCTGATAGGCCGTTGTGATGCAAAATCTTAGGACCCTCCTTGCTGTGATGCAAGGCAAAATCTTGGTACCATCAGCCAATCATAAATTTAAGGGAAAAGGTGCAAATATGCCCATGTACTAACCAAAAAAGGTCAAATAAGCCCTTATTTAGGAGGCTCTGTCCGGACGTCGTCATTTCGGGTGGTTCCCGGTGGAATTTTTTGATGCAATTTTTTGAGCATCTTGTTTATCAAGTCTAGTTTACTCATACCAAATTTCAGCTAAAACTTCAATCGGGGAGGCATTCAAATAAATTCTTGAAAATAATTGCGCAGTTAGAAGCGCAATTATCTTCAAGAATTCATTTGAATGCCTTCCCGATTGAAGTTTTAGCTGAAATTTGGTATGAGTAAACTAGACTTGATAAATAAGATGCTCAAAAAAATTCATCAAAAAATTCCACCGGGAACCACCCGAAATGACGACGTCCGGACAGAGCCTCCTAAATAAGGGCTTATTTGACCTTTTTTGGTTAGTACATGAGCCTATTTGCACC